GCAGATCTTTCTATTGCTTCCGGAGGAATCTACGGCGATTTTATACTGCACGGCTTTTTTTGGCTTCCGGAGGAATCTACGGCGATTTTATACTGCACGGATGATTGAGCCAAGGAATGACTATTGCTGTCTGACACTTGAGGTTTTGAGGCACATTCATGCAGCTGTGCATGTTTCATGCTTAACGCACCAATACGCTGCAGCAGGCGTAGCAAGCCTTTGGGCAGCTAACATGCAGACCACGGTGAGGCTCAGCCTGCTGGGTGCAAGGGGAGTACCAGTGCCAGTGGGGTTCACAAGTTTTCGAGTGCCTCAACGTCGGCAAACTTCAATTCTCGTCTCGTTCAGAAAGAAACGCAAAACAAGTTCCCGCACAAGCTACGGCCTAGCTCAGTTAGTAGAGCGCGAAACCGGCTCTCAGGAAGTTGTGGGTGCAAGCAATGACTCAGCTCAAATCTTGTGTCAGCCGTGGGCTGTGGGTCGTCATTTTGGTCAAAGGGCCGAAAGAGGGGTCAAAGGCCCCCCCCAAGTCATGTAAACTGCCTGCACGAAGGCCTGCTGCTGTGGGCTACCCAAAGCAAGGCCTAAAACTGGCCTTCAGAGGCCCAACGTGCAACAGTTGACCGTGGAAAGTCAAAGGTCAACAGCACCTCGGAAAGTCAGCCCACGATTCACAGTGAACATGGACCCACTCCAGGCCGCTGATCAGACACACACCTTTGGCTGTTTGCAGGTATCTATCTGTAAGGAATCAAGTCCAAGTGGGAATCTGCAACTGTATGGGTGGGATCCAGGCCATTGGCTGCGAGACAATCTGGGGCATTGTATCTGAGAGACCAGAGGCTGGTCAACCGGAGCCAACGCTATAAGTTGACCCAGCCCCTGCTGACTGCCATTCTCTGTCTTGCACATGCTGCTGGACGCTAGCTTGACGCTGGCACTGCGCTGGCTGGGCGCTAGCTTGATGCGACGGATGACACAGGACTGCTGATGCTGTATGCTGGCGCCATTCTCTGTCTTTGGCGCCCGCTGGACACTTGATTATGCTGACATGGCTCTTGCCACACTAATTAATTAATTATGACATTGATGGGGCACTGGCGAGGAGGATAAAATAAGGATCAGGGCTGTGAGATTGCTCAATGTGGAGGCAGCTTACCTGTTTGCGTTTGTAGTCAACATTGCGCACTGTTGTCCGTCTTCATAAGGTGTCTGCGCTGGCGAGCGCCGTGATGAGATCAACTCATTGTCAGGGTGTGTCAGAGGGGACTGTCTGCTGATGTGGCGAGAGGGAGACGCCCGAAGAAGAAGTGGGATTGTGAGGGAGATCGATCTGCTATGTTGATGGGTACTTTGTACTACTTTCTCTTCCACTTTTTAAGTCCTCTCTCCCTTCCACCATCCTCTTCTCTGGTGACCAGACGTTGGGCTACCTGATTACGAGTGCGATTTTGGAGACATTCTGCGTTCCGACAACATTGACGAGCTTCTCTTCAGATTGGGTTCATTGCAGTGGGTTCAATTTCCCTGGTCTCCCATTCGAATCCCCACCGCAAAATAAGTTTCGGCACAAACTGCAGCCTAGCTCAGTTACTAGAGCACGAAAGTGGCACTCGGGGACCCGAGGGTTCAGTTCCCCACGTCTCCCATTCGAGTTCCCACGGCCTCCTGCAGCATGCTGCGCCTTCAAATCAGCTGAGGTAGTTTGCTTAGCCCTCCTGGTTGTTTGGGTAGGAGAGATTTCCTCCCTCCGATCATCACCAGGTGTTAGGAGGCTGGGTACTGCTCCCCACACACTGAGGAGAGTAGATATCGAGCAGTGGAACCAGGGTCGACCCTGAGTGGATAGGTCCAACCCATAACCCTTATCGTTCCATGCTCTACGAAAGTAAAGAGGTACTCAAATTTCTTCTTCACAGTATAAAGCGAAATTTGTTTCGAACTTAGCACACTGAATATTGAAGTGCGAAATAGATTGAATTTGCGCATTCTGATTTTTCTTTCTTCTTTGTTCAGTCTAAAAGCCTGCATTGCTCACGTAAAACGTGAATCTTGTGTTCACAAAAACGCACTAAGAGGGATCACTTCGAAAAACAAGCGATGGAGTGTTGTGCCTTTCTTGCGAGCACTTCGAAAAAACAAAGTGGTGGAGTGTTGTTTTCTAGTGCCTTTCTTTTGGTATTAAAAAAAAGGGCCAACTGGAAGGACGTCGGTGTAAAGATCCACAAAGCAAAGACTCTGAGATATATACCTGGCTTCAGATAGGTAGCTAGTTTAGTTTGATGCGAAAATCGAGAAAAGAATAGAGACTCTAGTATAGAGCAGTTGAAATTTCAAAAATACAAGCAGATGCCCACCGCTGATGCGGCGGGGACCAAGAGGGAAAAAAAAGAAAAGTCCTTTGGGGCATCCGTTAAAATTGGAACGATACAGAGAAGATTAGCATGGCCCCTGCGCTTTCAAGGATGACACGCATTAATCGAGAAATGGTCCAATTTTAAAAAACAAACAAACAAACAAACAAACTAACAAACAAAACAAACAAACAAACAAACAAAAAGAAAAACACATACTCACCACATGCACAAAAGGCAAAAAATATGGCTTTGTAACTTTTTCCATGTTCTAGCGGCAGATTAATTCTCATTTTGGCATGATTTTGCACTTTTTCTTTTTTATGATTATTATTATATTATTATTATTATTTTTTTTAATAGAAGAAGAATAATCGCCCGAGTGGGTGCTAGGGGTGCTGGTAAGAGCAGACACCTCTAGCAGTCCCGGGCGGGCTCCATCTATTGGTGGGGAGCAACACCTGCTGGAAAGCGGGTCCAGCGTCCCTGAACATTGTGGCTGCTTGTTTTCATTTGTATGGGAGCGAGCCCCTGAATCTTCCACCAGAACATGGAGAGATGCACCGCGATAAGTATGGCCACTATGGACAGATGAAACACGTAGATAGCTAAATGGTCCCTCAGTTGGATAGGCACGCAAGGGGGTGTTTTTTTTTTTTTTTTCTGTTGTTTCTACGGGTGGCAGCTGTTCGAAAGCAAGCAGGTGGCGCTCCGCCACTCTCCACATGGACAGAAGACAAAAAACATGGGAATGCATCTTTCCATGTTCCCATGGAATAGTCAGTCTCGTTGTGCACATTTGGAGAGGAGTGAAGCTAAGGTCGATGACTCACATCAATGGACAGATGGAGCCTCGTTCCACTACTACTCAAATGTGCAAAATTACACTGAATCCAACGCAGGAACACGGAAAGATACATTCCCATATCTTTTGTCTTTTTCGCATGTGGAGAGTAGTGGAGCGCCTGGCGCCCGCAAAAACGCCAAAAAAAAAAACGGGAAAGATACATATTCCCATATTTTTTGTCTTTTATTTTCGTTCACGCATGTGGAGAGCAGCAAAGCGCCTCGAGCCCGCAGAAACAACAAAAAAAAAAATCAAACGAACAGAATCGGGCGAATGTACTTGTGTTCGCAAACATCCGCCCCAGAGCAGACGTGAGAGCCTTTCATCTGGATTCAGTCTTCTGCCCTGCGGTCTGCCCTGCCATTCCCTTGCAGTCTGCCCCGCGGTTCCCCATGGGACACCGCCCCCCGGTACCTCTCGTGCACCACCTATTTTCGCTGGGCCCGGCAGGCAGCGTCAGCTGAGGACCGGGTTAGTCTTTTAGTAGTATAGAAAAGAAAAAGAAAAAACATTTTTTTTTTTTTGACACAACCTGAATGCACATGGTTGCCCCTCCTTGCTGTGACCGGGTAGGCCCGCCATTCAGGCTGGGAAGGCCAAGGTCAGTTTAAAATCAGATGCAACAAAACAAGGTCAGCCATAATGAGCTGGATGAAACCTCTTGAGCGGAGTGAGTTTCTATGCTTCATCTTCTTAGGAGCCCCCCCCAGGTGCCTACAGTCTTCCCCCGAATACAACGTATGGTCAGTATAGCTGAATTTAGACTGAAAGATAGACCAAATTCAGCTATAATGACCGTGCATTGTATTCGGGGGAAGACTGTAGTTGTGTCTGACGGGTGGTTTTAAAAAAAAAAAAAAAAAGGTTCTGCAGGATGTTTGATGGAAGGGTTTGATCCTTGA